ATCTAACTACCAAAATTCTATGCAATCCACTCCTAGTACTAGCTGATTTGAAAGTAAACTTATCTTGTTTAATTTATAAATTATTTTAAATGTGCCATGTAAGAGGCTAACTGAAAGAAAGCCTGTGGTTTGATTTCAGTTTACCAGTAATGGAGTGGAAGTTTCTGTATTCTTGGAGATAGATTTAATGTCAGCTTTCTAACTCTAACCAGCCTATAATCACAACCGTGTGACAGGCTAACCTTTTCATGGTGAGAGCTGATTCCGTTTCCATGGTAGCTCAGTTTTAAAGCTAGGAATGATGATGGTGTCCCAGGGAGAGAAGGTCATAAGTGGGGAATTACAATGGATTTTGAATTGTAATGTGGAATTAATGTGAACTGCTCTGAGCCCACAGAGGATCAGGGGTTGGACTTCTATGTCAAATACTTTTTAAATACTTTTGTGAGCTATATCATTATTCAGCAATACAATATCAGAAGGAAAATTTGTGTCAGGAAACAATTTGAATTGTAGTCTAGAAAACTGGTTGGGAAGAGCTTCTCTTTTTTCCTACAATTAATTTTCCTGTGTAATTAAGTTATCAAAAACATTATGCAGTACATACACAAATGACCCCTTTAACTAAGAGGCTCTGTCTTTAATCAGATCTCTGCCATCAATATTACTTAAAATGTTGCCTGCTTCTGTTCACAATGTAGTCCAGGAGGGCTGATAAATTTAACTCCAAAGAACTAAGTCTCTGATCCCAATTACACTCCCAGGCCTTAGTGTAGCTCTTAGTCAATGTACATTGCCGTGTCCGCTTTTGAGGAAAGAAAACTGAAACTTACACTTCTTTGCAATTAAAGACCAGGGGTAATAGGCAACATTCACACCATAATAGTAGGTACACTCTTGCAGGGAAAGGCTTGTGTGTTTTGTTGATTCACTGCCAGAGACGACCTGTCACCATAGCTCAGCGTAAGGGAACTGGGAGGGGCTTCTCTAAACAGAAGATTAAAAGTTTGAGCTAAGAAGTCTAGAGGAAGGAATCTTAGGAGTAGCAAGAAAGTTTGAGATGACAACTGTTATCTTATTGTTCATTTCTGTGTTAATGAGACAGAAACCATGAGGGAGATGAGTTTGGACTTAATGGCTAGAGACAGAAATTACAGATAAACTAGTATAAGTGATCAGAAACTGGTTCCAATCTGTAACACAACAGTTCAGTGCACATAAAATGCTTTGAAAATGAAAACCAATTTAAGATAAAACTGAATGAGTGTAGTATCAGACCTAACTGATTTAGGCTAAATCAGTTTATTGAACTTCTGTACCAGATCCCCTCCTGATTCAAGTTAATTCACAGTCCCCCAACATCCCAGGATGCTTTGCACCTCCCCTGCAAACCCCACTTTGCTGTGTGGGTGGACTAGCCATGGCCCAAACTATCTGCTCCAGCAGAGCAGGGAGGCATGCTCTAGCACCCCCTGGCTTCTGGCCTGGGTCACTGCAAGCATGAGACTGCATTTCTAGAATCAAAAGTCTGTTCGCTTGCTTATCCATTCAATCTATACAGTTTAGACTAATCTGCAAAGATTGAATTGATTCAGCCTTGGGCATTTTGACTGTCTCTATTTTGAGAATATTTGAACTGTAATGGAGAGCAAATTCAGTAAGACATGCTTACATGGATTTTTTTTCCTTTGGTTTTGTAAAAACAGCTCAATTTGAAGTTTCTGGCCTAATACTAATTAGAGCTGAGTTTACAAACTAACTAGAGAGGAAATGAAGATGAAGAAAATATTAATTCAATTGCAGACACTGTGGCAAGAAATGACAGGGTGTTGTAAAGGAAATTCTGAAGCATCCTCTGTTGTTTTGGTGCTACTGGCAGCTTAAAATAGAGACTAAAACTAAAAATATGTTAAGAGTCCAACATAACAATGTATTGTTAAAGCTAGAAAAATAATCATTTCGACATCCTAGCAATTTTTCTAAAATACAAAATGCCCTATAAAAACATAACAGTAAACATGCAAATTCACTAAATAATAAGAGTACAATCTAAAGTGTCAATGACATTAACATTCACTGTTTCATGTGAATAATTATTTAGGTATTGCAAATACTCCTGTAACAACATTTAGATATAGCATTCTTTCAAAAGGCAGCTTTGTTGATTGTAGAAAAATTCAAACTGCCAGGAAATACATTCCATCTGCCTCTTCAAGAAGCATCTATTAAAGCCTCAGAAATGCTCAGAGCTATAATTTGTTTATAGGAATTACTTGTGGACAGGCTCAAGTTTCATTACGCTGAACCTGATTCACTCTCTGGCCTTGATCAAAGCAACCAGCTCTCTGGGCCTTTTCTGTTGTCTTTTATGTAAGCAACAATTCTTCTGACTGCCTTGACATAAGGATTTTAATGTGCTTAACAAACATCTACAAAATCCCTCTAAATTGTGGAGGTATGGGGTTGAATTCTTGAACCCAGTCAAATTACTGTGTGCCGTTATAGCACAAAGCTGCCTCAAAGCAGCAGGAGCTAGCAGTTCCACTGCTTTCTCCACCAGCCACCTCACCATCATCCTTAAACTAAACTATCATACATTTCAATTAGCAAAGCATCATCAAGATCACATATCAAGTGCTGCTTCTGCTTTAAATAACCACTGCAGAATGTCAAGAGACAGCAAGAAGTCCTTGCTGGTATCCAGCAACATTCCTCAAAGGAGATACGTAATTGTTCCAGAGGAAGGAAGTGCCAAATCTTTGCCTCTCCTATTGCCGTAATGTAAGAAAGAAACTAGAAATACCTATATCCTTAAATTAAGCATTATCACAGTGTTATTGCTGATAATGCTTTGAGGTAGTTCATAGATTTCATAGATTTTTAGGGTTGGAAGAGACCTTAGTAGATCATTAAGTCCAACCCCCTGGCCTGGGCAGGAAAGAGCTCTGGGGTCAGATGACCCCAGCTAGGTGCTTGTCTAGTCTCCTCTTAAAGACCTCCAAAGTAGGGGAAAGCACCACCTCCCTTGGAAGCATATTCCAGATTTTGGCATCCCTCACCATAAATAAGTTTTCCCTAATGTCTAATCGAAATCTGCTCTCTGTCAGTTTATGGCCGTTGTTCCTAGTAACCACAAGGGGTGCCCTGGTAAACAGAATATCCCCTATTTCTTGCTGCTCCCCCTGATGAATTTGTAGATGGCTACAAGATCCTCTCTCAGCCTTCTTTTACAGAGGCTGAAGAGATTCAGGTCCTTCAATCTCTCCTCGTAGGATCTAACCTGTAGGCCCATAAGCATATGAGTAGCCCTCCTCTGAACCTTCTCAAGGTTATCCACACCCCTCTTGAAGTGCAGTGCCCAGAACTGAATGCAGTACTCCAGCTGCGGTCTTAACCAATGTCGCATAGAGGGGAAGTATCACTTCCCTAGACCTGCTCGTGATGCACCTTCTAATGCATGAAAGAGTGCAGTTGGCTTTACTTATTGCTTCATCACATTGATGACTCATGTTCATTTTGGAGTCAACTATGACTCCGAGATCCCTTTCTGCTGCTGACCTGCTTAAAAAGTCCTCCGAGATCCCTTTCTGCTGCTGTACTGCTTAAAAAGTCACCTCCCAGCCTAAAAATGACCCATCCACCACCACCCTGTGTGTGTGCCCCATAAGCCAATTTTCCACCCACCTGACCATGTAGTAATCTATGCCACAATCGCCTAATTTGTTTATAAGAATGGGATGTGACACTGCCTCAAAGGCCTTTTTAAAATCCAAGTAGATGACATCTACCTCAACTCCTGCATCTAAGCATTTTGTGACCCGGTCATAAAAAGCAACAAGGTTAGTCAGGTAGGATCTACCTGCTATGAACCCATGCTGGTTGCCATTCAGCATTATTTTTCCTGCTGGACTCCCACAAATGTGATCCTTGATACTTTTTTCAAAGGTTTTCCCAAGGACAGAGGTGAGACTAACCAGCCTATACTTACCTGGATCTTTCTTCCTCCCCTTCTTGAAAATAGGGGCCACGTTGGCCCTTTGCCAGTCCTCTTGGACCCATCCTGAGCACCATGAGTGCTCAAACAACCTCGCCAGTGGTTCTGCAATGACACTGGCCAATTCCTTCAGCACCCTTGGATGAAGATCATTTGGGCCTGATTACTTAAACACATCCAGTCCCCCCAAATGCTCCTTCACTAGGTCAGTGCTAACTGTTGGTGGGCTGGAGTCCCTCTTGTGCCTGTCTATAGCCCCTTTGGGAGATATGTCTTTATCTGTGTTTAAGAACACAGATGCAAAGAACTTGTTTAGGAGCTCAGCTTTGTCCTTCCTATCTGTTACCAACTGCCCTGGTCTGTCATGTAGGGGTCCTATGCTTCCATGCACCTTCTTTTTACTCACTATGTCCCTAAAGAAGGACTTTTTGTTGTCTTTAATTTTTGTAGCCAGTCTGAGTTCCATTTCTGTTTTGGCCTTTCTAACTGACTCCCTGCAACTGCGAGCCAAGCAGGTATACTCCTCCATGGTGGTTACCCCCTGCTTCCACAGTCTGTATGCCTCTCTTTTTCTCCTTTGGCTCTCTTGGCTTTCCCTGTTTAGCAAAGCGGGTTTCTTGGCTCTTTTGCCTCCCTTTAAACCTTTACTTCACTATTCAGGGGTCGGTTTGTTTTTTATGACTTTATGGTGAAAGAAAGTTTTTTCTCACTCACTCACATTCCCTTCTGTGACATTTATATGGCATTCTATGCAAGTCAGAAGTTAGTCCTGAGTTTATGTCTGCATAGCTCAGTCATTCTGCCTGTGAATTCATAGGGGGATGTTTCTTGGCAGCAAAAAATATGGTTCAAGTGAACAAATGCCACATCATATTGACTGGATCTGTTTTGTTACACTACACGTGTTATATAGTCACAAGCTCCTGAAAGTAAATAGCATTATTTTCACTGTTCTCCTTTTGTACAGTTTTTCTACCTTATCACTTATCTGTATCTATCTCTGTAGGTGATGCAGTAGAAGAAATTGACCTGACTGTGGTTTACCAAGCAGCAGCTAATGGTGACATTAACACTCTGACTGCGGTAATTCGTGAAGATCCTTCAATCTTAGAATGCTGTGACAGTGAGGGTAAAACAGTGATTTATCATGCTTCCTACGGGTTAATCACTAAAACATGGTACTGAGCTATTATTGGTTTCTTTTCAGTTTTATTCTTAACATCAAAGGTAAGGGAATCATCACAAGTAGAATTGCATCTGGTTTCCCACTTTTGTAAGTAGTAGAAATGATGCATTCAACATATTTTTTGGACATTCACCAGAAATATGTATTCTAGAAGGCGATAATATAATATAACCTTCTTCTTTCTTCGTACTAATGACATAATCTATTTAATCATACAAATGCAACTGAACCATGGATTTCAGGAACAAGTCCTCTGCCATGTATTTATTCGATCGGGTTTAGAAAGGAAGATGTTGGGAAACTGCTGAAATTTTAGCAAAAGAGGGAGAAAATCATTTCTGTAGTCAAATTCAAATCATATACATTTGTGGACATTTTAAGGACCTGTGGGGCCAAATTTCCAAAATTAGACCATTTCAGTCATTTATACTTGTGAAATGTGGGCCTGAGTGCAAACAGATAAATGATGAAAAGGTAAATATGGAGTTGCTTGCAAAAAAGGGTAACTGGATGTATAATTACCTGTTCTACGCTTGCCACTTCCTATTTTTTTTCAATTCAAGTCTCCATGCTATGTCCATCACTGCTATACCCAAATCACCTTCATTTTGTGCATGCAGTTGCTTGTAAACATGCATGAATTTGCCAAGTAAATATGAACCAGAAAACTATAAATGTGTCACATTAACTAGATTGTATTCAATCCCACCTCTCATTTTTAATCACAGTGATATTTTTCCAAGATGCAGACGAAAAATATACAGTCTAAATCCTAAGAAATGCAGAGATCTGTGTCAGTGACAGATCTGTATCACAGATTCAGAGACGGTGAAGCTCTAAATGGATGGGCTCAGCAGTATCACGGAGAGAACCTAGTTCTGGCACCAGTCTCTTGCTGCCTGTGATAGCAGAGAGGCTGACCAGATTGAGGAGGAAAGGAACCTCCAAAATGCCTCCTGAATGATTAGTTCAGCTGTTTCAAGAATGATATTAATGGAGTTAAGCTTCCTACCCCAAAGTCCAACAGTCTCCAATATCATCTTTATAATGTCCCCAGGGTTCTGGTGTAGACAAGATGAGACCCCAAGCATTAGTTTGAATGTTTCTTCCTGATTGCCTTCTATGATGAAATCACTGGCTCTGTGGATGCAGGGAGTGCAGTGGACATGATATATTTTGCCTTTAGCAAGGCTTTTGATACAGTCTCCCACAACATTTTTGCAAATAAACTAAGGAAGTATGGTTTGGATGAATGAATGGTAAGGTGGATAGAAATCTGGCTGGATTGTCAGGTTCAAAGGGTAGTAATCAATGGTCCCCCACTACAGAAAGGACATAGACAAATTGGAGAAAGTCCAGTGGAGGGCAATGAAAATGGTGAGAGTTTTTAAGACCCAGCTAGACAAAGCTTGGCTAGTATGATCTAGTTGGGGATGGCCCTGCTTTGAGCAGGAGGTTGGACTAGATGGCCTCCTGAGGTCCCTTCCAACCCTAATTTTCTATGTTTCTAGGACTGCACTCTTCTTTCCAGTAATGGAAAGAACTACAGGAATCACACACTTAAATTCGGAATGTTCTAGAAAACAGAATAATCTTTCAAGTATGACTTACATGTGATAGCATCTGTAGACCACATTCTTCTGTGCCCCCAGAACAGTGCCTATTCTCTTAAATAGGCATACACAGATAGGGTGAAATGGAAGTCTGAGGGGAGTGCCTTCAAGGACTGAGCTGGCCCATGTTCTGAGAAATGTCACTAACAGGGACCCAGAGGCTCCTGTTAATTTAAGGGGAAGATGCAGCAGGCTAACGTTGTGGTGTAGGCAGGCAACTAGCAGGAGCTACCTGCTCTGCAACAAGCTGGCTGTGTGGGGCAGAGTCCAGACAGCCTGAGGATAAAGGCCATAAACAGCTGGGTTGAGCTGCAGCAGTGAGGGGCAAGCTGACAATTAAGCCCAAGGGGAAACCCCTGTGCCTGTCTGGGGGGGGGTCACCTGACCTAAAGGGGCAGTGCCCCAGAGCATATAAGTCTGGCACCAGAAGCAAGGTGGGCAGCCTGACTCCTGTGTGCTACAGGGAACAGAGCTCCAGGGAGAGAGGGGCTGAAAGAGACAGCCTGGCAAGCACCCAAGCCACCCATGGGAGCTAGGAGATGAGAGCCCAAAAGGGTGGGAGGGCTTGTAAGAAGGCATAAACCTGAGGTTTTTGTTGAAAGTGGTCACTTGTATTTGTATTGCATTTGAGTTGAAACCAGAGGACCAGGTTATGGCTATGGGAGCAGCATACTGGCCACAGTGGTGCTGAAGAGGTACCCTGCATAGAGCCCTGTATGGGTCAGAGACCATAAGGGGGCTGAGCAGCACCAGAACCACCTGGCCTGGGGAAGCTGGGGGTGGAGCATAAGCAGCCTTGCCCAAGTCAGGGACCCCAGAGGGCCCAGAGGTGAAAAGAAAAGCCTTCCCTGGGTCTGGGACCACAGGAGATCCAGAGCCTAAGGGCCAGGAGGCCCAGAGCATGTGAGAGACAGGCGATAGAGGCCAAGAAACTGACATGCAGAGAGGGTTGAGGCCAAGAAAGCCAGGCCAGAATAAGTGGGCCACAGCTGGAAGCCAACAGCCAGAATAATGGTAGGCTAAAGCCAAGAGGGCAGAGTCCCCTACAGGAGGCCATGGTTATTGCCCCAAAGGCAACTTTTGCTCTAGGGCACAGATAGGAACAGGGGGCCATAACTGAGTTGGGGCGAGATGGTTGTCAGACAAGCACTTGAGACCACAGGTAGCAAGAGACTGAGGCTGACACTGGGGCCCTGGGGTAATCTCTGTACATATAATTAGTTACATCAGAGTATGGCAGGCAAAGTA